CTGTTTTAGAGTTATATAAACTATGGACGTTACAAAACTGTCGACTGCAGCCAAATAGTTGTAAGCACATTGTTATACATACCTGATATAAAACATATTTTTGACTACAGCAAAAAGATTTACTGCTCGATTACTTTGATTGCCCTTAAACAAATCCCAAACGCACAGAATTGGCATATAAACATATATCCATACATGCATGAATGTAAATAAAAAACTGCTCTACTCTGCAATTCTCAAGTCTTCAAATAAATCTTGCGGACTTACATTAATTAGTAAGAAGTGTTATATTAATAAATTATGTTTTAAATATATTAATCTGCGTCTCTTACGCCATATCTGTCACTCTTACTCTTTCTGTCATGTCATTGCTCTGTCTTTCTTCTAGATTTACTCTCATCCATTCCCTGCTCGTATTGCTCTTAAGGGGATGTGTATACAAATTTGTCTTCTTTACAGCTGCACATTGTCAAGCTGTTATAAAATCTGTTACATTGAGCTTCATAGTCTGACTTACAGTTCTGCTCCCATACATATCTATATAGACACATGTTCATTTTTCGCTGCTCAACTTATCCTAATCACTCACTGTATGCATGTCCATTTAATTTTGCACAACGTAAGCTGCTTTTGCGCTCGTTTTTGGCCAAATTTAGCTCACCCGTTGCTGGCCAACAAAGTCTTGAAAGCTGAAAGCAAAAGAAAACTTGCCTAATCCAATGAAAACAAGCAGCTCAGCTGCTATTGATAAGGACCAAGTGCTAGGCAACCCATCCGAATGTGCCAAAATGATATTCAAAATAATAAATAAGTAACGAATTTTTATTTGTTCTTTTTGTCCTTGCTAGTTGCTAACTGTATTTACTTTAAGATTTTCGTACTGCTATATTTTTGCATAATTTTCTACTCGTGCTTGGCTTGCGACGTGCCCAACTCTGAAGGCAACTCTGAGCCGCACCTGTTAAATTTTTAGAGCTCATTTGCTTCTGGGCTCTAGCTTGGGCTGGGGCTCGGGCTATGGTTGGCGCTGGTGATGGGGCTGAGGCTGAAGCTTTTGGCATGGCTTAAGTCCCTTGGACTTTGGATAAGATTTCAGGCAGCAAATACTCTGGCATGCATTTAAATTTGTGGTCGCCTTTGCATGCAGCTTGACAACATTTTGCCGTCTGCAATTAACAGTAAAATTTTATGCATAATTCCCGTTATGACACTTGCGGTGCACACAATCACATGCTGCCATTGCTCGGCATGTCTATGCATGCAGATACATGCGGTTGCTGCAACAGATACAGCAAAACATCTAAAGATACAGATGCAGATACACGCAACATTCAAGGCATTCGCTGAGAGACAGGAGCTAAGTCGAGCAGTCGAGCAGCTGAGCAGCATACCAATTTATGTTATCTGAACACTCGACTAAACCACCAAATGCCAAAGTTCTTGCCACTGCGCTTATTTCACATTGTTGTTGTAGTTGTTGCTGTTGTTGTTGTTGTTGTTGATGTTTTGGTTGAAGCTGAGGGCGCCAAATAATTTAGATTGATGCCCTGTTGCCGTTGCAATGTTGTCATGTCGAGCATTGTCTCAATCGAATTGCAGACGGCACTTGTGCCGAGCACTTGCTAAATAACAGTATCTATAGCTACACATAAATATAAAATCATACATAGCTGCACACACACACACACACACACACACATATACACTGGTGCTACAGCCTTATGCTTGCATTAATAAGTACGTATTTGTATTTGCATTTGTTGCCTGCTAATGGTATCTATAGCTCGGCATATAGAAATGTATCTGCAGCTACATTGTTGTTTACTCTTCGATTTGTTCTTAATAAGTATCAGTATCTGCAGCTACGTATATTCTAGCACTTTCTTAACTTTTCTCTTTGAGTATCTATATACATATTTAAATAGGTTAGTTCGAGCCTTAACTTTATTTAACTCCATATCTATGTTACTTTCTGTTTGTATTTTTGTCTGTATCTGTGTGTTATTTTTCGCAAAGCTCAATGTATTAATAAATAATATGTAAATGTATCTAAACACATTTTTATTTACATAAGTACATTTAATATAGATATATCAAACATATATTTACAGATAAATGTATAAATAATATGTAAATATTATATTAATTTATTTTGCCATATGTATATCTTTAAAAGTATCTTTGTTCATTTGTAAAACCTTTTGATCTACTTGCAAATACTTGCAAAAATATCATTGCTTTTCTGCACAGCTTCTGTGCTTATTTTTTGCATGCAGCTTTTGTATCTATATTTTCATCAGAATGCCATTTGTAAATAGCTTCACTGATGCATAGGTTCTATTGTTATAGCTAGAAATATCTGAATATCTATAACGTTCCACAAGCTATTGCCGAATAGCATGTATGCGCTAGCAGGTTCAGCTTTCCTTTTTATACCCTAAGCCCATTGATGTATGCAAAGGGTGTAATGTTTTCGTGCAAATCTATGTAACTGGCATAAGAAAGCATTCCCTACCCCGCAAGGAATATATATTCATAATCCTTACGTCCGTCTATTCGTCTGTGTGATCTCGTCTATCTCGTAAAGCACTAGAGACAAGAGCTGAAGAGCGAAATTTGAAATAAATGTTCTCTCTTATTATACGTAATTATTCTTATACGGTATTTATAGATTTAGAGCCATGATAATTGAAAATATTTCACTTTCGGATAGCTCTCGCATTTCCCCAAATCAAACACCTTGCGCTTGCTATTGTATGCCATATTTCAGCCCTTAAAATGTAATTCAAATCAGCCTATAAACACCGTAGTTGATGAAGAATGTATTGCGCATACATAGTGTGGGACTGCTTGCAACATGTCTGTGCGTTCTGAAACTGAAGCTTATCGCTGGGTTCAGGGTATCTATTAGGCGGCCACTCCTGACTCGAGCACTCAATCTTGTTGTATATCTATTTGCTTCTCTATTCCAATTTCTATCTATATTACTATTTGTATTTGTATCTGTATTTCGTATTTTGTATTCCACTCGCTTTGCTTGCTCGGTGTTTGCGACAAGAACAAAGTGAAAAAAAAGATGCGATACTACGAGCCGCAGCAAAGGAAAATTAAATATAATTAATATCAAAGTACACACTCGTAATTACAAACTGCCCCAGCCAAGTGGCTGTCAGCCGTTGTTATCCTTTAAGTCCTCTTTAATGCGGCTGCTTCCTTTGATTTTTACAATTTCAATTAGCGCTAAGCGCGCCGCCCGCCAAATGCCTGCGTTCACCGTAGGCCCCAAGTGTGACACTGGATGTGGCTAAAGGCGTGGCAGGTGGTGGGGAATGGATAGAGGAGGGCGGACTGTGTGTGCCTGGTTGTGGTTGTTGCAAGGATTTACAGCCGTTGATTATTACACAACATGCAAAAGTAAATTTCAACATTTGCCGCACAAAATTTTTGTTAATTTCACTGAAGCTCTGCCACCGAGTTAGATGGATGTCAGTGGCAGCACAATTGGTGGGCGTGGCAGCTATTCGAGCATCGAGCGGAGCTAATCGCTGCCTGCTGCCTGAACGCTCTACATTGTGCGTCTATTTAAGCTTATTGCCCAACAAGCTCTAGATAAATCTGTAGCAGGGCCATAGATGAATGCACTCATGTACCCGCTGTTGAACTAATGCCATAGATAAACAATAGGCAGGCATACATTATGGCTCAAGATATATATATAATAATTATAAACTATACTAAGTAATATGCAAGTAGATGGGTGCTTGAGTAAGCAATAGCTAGAAGTGCTAGTTAATCCACAGCTTGCGTATCATAATTATCTTTGCTCTAAAAGGAACATTTGGCGCAAGGTAAAAAGAAGCAGCGCTCGCAAGTCGAAAACCTCTTGTATCTGAAAATATATATATTTATATATAAAATAAATCAAAATAAATTATTTTTATAAAATATAAAACATTAAATTGGAATATAGACAGAGTGGTACCAAACGCACTATGTTATACCCCTGGTCAAGGGATCTATCTAATTATTCCATTTTCATGTTCATCTATCTCCATTTTTCGCTATCTTTTCCACTCTCTCCCTCTCAATCCAAGATCGTGCATCTCTCACACAATATTTGTCAGTTTCTTTGTGTTCGCGTCTCTCTCTAGGGACAGGAAATTAGTTGAAATTGGTTTGTTGATCATTAACTAATAATTGTTGATGATAGCTGCAACCAAAATAGAAAACCCAAAAAGAAAACATGATTAAAATTCATAAATATTGCCGTTTGGGATTTAAGCGCAGAATACGCAGATATGGATACATGAAGCTGATGCTGATGAGGCCGAGGGCCAGGGTCGGTTCGGGCGAACATGCCAGTGGCCGGATCCGGCGTGCAGCAGGTGCCGTTGATAATGACGCAGCGTCGACAATCGCCAATCGGCAATCGTCAGTCGTCAGTCGGCGACGCATCGTCAATACCCGCCTGACACCGCTTGGCACTGTCGCGCACATGCATATACAATTGGGAGAGCAGCTCGTCTCGTTGTATCGTATCTTCTCTGTGTGTGCGTGTGTGTGAGTGTGTGTATGTGTGTGAATGTGTACATGGCACATGTGTGCTTGGATCGATCGCCGCAGTGGCGAACGACAACACATATGGCTGTCTACTGTCGCCGTCGCTGTTGTTGTTGTTGTTGTTGTTGTTGTTGTTGCCGTTGTTAATGACGCCGGCAACGAGTTAGATAAACGGAGATGAAAACGGCTGCAAAATGTCCACTACGATCCATTTAAATGTGTGAATGCCTAATTATTCCCACAGGGATGTGCCCAGCACTGTTGTCGTTAAATTCATGGAACATAGTCATGCATATATGTATCTACGCATATCGAGTATCAGTCAATGTTTGCACTCGAGCGTGTCCAGTGCCCCAGCCCCAGAGTACGAAAGTTTGACTATTTGACAATCGATTGGCATAAATATTTGGACAGGCGCTGGGATCAGCTCATTTGTTAGCATGGATTTCTTTGCGACGGGCGCATTTCAACAGCTCTACAGCGAGCTGGAGGAGCCAGCAATAGTCGGCGGCGACTGCTTTGACCAGGATCTGCGGCAGCAGCAGCAGCATCTACAGTCGAGAGATTGCTGCTACGCGGACGTCAACTTTGGCAATGGCTTTGACACGGGTGGCATGGATTACTATGGCATCATCACACTCGACAGCAACAACAACAACAACAACAGCAGTCATAACAACTTGAGCCACATATGCAGCAGCAACAGCAGCATCAGTGAAGATCAGGAGTTATTGTTTGACTTTGGCGCTACGGACACGGACTCAACTCTAGCAGATGGTGCTGCGTCGGCTCCTCCAGAGCTGAGTGATTGGGAGCAGCGGCTGCTAGATCATTTTGTGGAAATACCTGAGCTTATTGACATACTGCCCGAGCGCACACCTCTCTGCACGGACATGTGCGATGACTTTCTGCAGGAGAGCAATAACAATCTGCGCCTGGCCGTGCCCAGCTCTCCAGGCTACTCCGCTTCGGCAGCAGCGCCGCCGATTGCGTCAGCATCAGCGCCCATGCAGCTCAGCCAGAATGCTGCAGGCGAGAAGGGCTACTTGTGCACATTTGGCAGCTGTGAGAAGCTTTATGCCAAGCCCGCCCACCTTAAAGCCCATTTGCGCCGGCACATGGGCGAGAAGCCGTACGCCTGCAATTGGCCGGACTGCAGCTGGCGCTTCTCGCGCTCCGACGAGCTCGCCCGCCACCGTCGCTCCCACTCGGGCATCAAGCCCTACAAGTGCGACTATTGCGCAAAGTGCTTTGCTCGCTCTGATCATCTCACAAAGCACCGCAAGGTACACGAGCGGCGCCTGCTGGCCGCGACTCGCTCCGGCAAGCTGCTGCCCAACGGCCCCCTGCCCCAGAGCGTATATTCCGTGCGTCCGGGTCGCAAGCGCAAGAATCAGCTGTGACACTAATTGGCGCGGGCTCTTTACATGTATATAAGTATATAGATTTTTTTACTTAACCATAAGCGCTTTCTTTATTCTGTAAGAAATTTAATTAAATATTTCAATGAAAAGGTGAAGACAAATAACAGAGGCTGTTCACTAACACACTCAATTTACCTTGAATTACAATAGTATATATATTCCATAAACCATATCTATTGTTTTAATAGCTTAGAATTTAAAAAGGGTTAAGCCTTAAATCCGAGCTTATTACAAAAAATTTCATTTAATTATATGCAACTACATACTCTAAGTTTAATCTTACATAATTATTACTTATTGATTATAGTCAGAAAAAATGTATAGTAATTATTTATTGACTGCGATCAGAAAGTTTCCAAGATTTTTAGAAAAATAGTTAATTGAATTTAAATGTTTTAAATGTTTTTAATCTTAGAAAAAAATGAATATATTTTGTAGAAAGGAATATAAAAAGTTCGTTAAAACTTGCGCAATTTCCTCCTAGCATTACAGGGGACATTTCCCACAATCTAAATTGGGAAACTATGATACCTTTTCGGTGCGGTTTTGACTTATCTCAGATTAAGAAAAAAAGAGAAGACAAATTAGCAATTTCCACAGCTTTAAGTTTAACTTTAATATTAAAAACTAATATAAATAATGAATTTTCTAAAATATAAAACATTGAATTTAAATACAGTCGAAGTGATAGCAACAAATCCCAGAGAGAGAAAAATATCCCCCTCTTACTGTTAGACCATGAAAATTGGCTGGCTAGACTTTCTTGATACTTCCATTTTTAGTTACATATAAATTAAATGCTTGATTAAAAAATTTTAAGCAACCACAACTTACATATATACTTTAATTAAACCTATCGATAGTTTTATCATCTCATCATCCCTATCGATAGGTTTACGAAAAAATATATGGTAGAGGACGTGCGCGCATTTTATTAATATTGATTTTCTGAAATACTTTATATAAAATCTATGCTACATCTGAATTTTTCTCGCACACCTTTTTACTATAACACCTCTTAAAACTTTTCTCTAAGATCGACTCAAATGTTTTCCAAGAGAGAGAGAGAGAGAGAGAGAGAAGAGTTTTCATGTAGATCTATGTAAATACACTTCACTCAATCAGCATAATAATGTTTTTAATGAAATTTTATTAATTTGGGATCAGCTAAGGGTCGGAGTCGCAGCACGCAGCCAACAACAACAACAGTCAGTAGTTAATTTCTATGGACTGCCTGCCGTTTTGTTGTTGTCCGAAAGCTCATTTACTGGCCAAGTATTGTCAGCGGGTCGCCGATTCAGCACGGCTCCTTCATACATTTATTGTGTGTATAAGTGCGCTAAGGAAATAATCTCAGCTAGGGGCAGGTCGTTTATCTTTGATGTTGACTGTCAGCTCTTGCTCTGGCGCTTTGGCTCTTAATAGTTAGTAGCCGCTCTGTGTGAGAGCCAGCATGGTAATTAAGTTTTTTTTTTTTTGTTTTTGTTGTTGTTTTTCATTTTTTAATTTTCTCACACCCGCAACGCTGTTCGACTTGGACTCGGACTGCAGCTCCTGCTGCTGGCTTGAAGTCGTATCCTTTATGCGCTGTCATATTGCATACTTTACGGCTTTCAGCGCGAGTGCTTTTGTACATTTCAAGAATATTTACAGCGCAACTTGCTTATTGTATAATGGCATTTACTTTACACAAATGTCGACGTCGGCGTTGGCGCTGGCGTCGCTGTCGCTGCTGCTGTTGCTGTCGTTGCCATCACCATTTTCCCTCTGCGCCCGCTGTATTTGGCCCTTTCCGTGCTCCGCGCTGCTCATGCAAAATTTCACAACAATTATTGCTCACCCATCGCCCATTTGCATTTGCTCGTTCGCTCCACTCCTTGCCCACCGCCCCCAGCCTCGTGCCCTGGAAAACTCCTGCCCCGCAAGTGTCTGTCGCTCATTAGGGCGAACTTTGTAACTGCCGCCGTTGCATCTTGCAGCCAACAACAGCAGGACATAAAAAAATCAACAAAAACTGCAAGTACTGCTTATTCGAAAGTAATTAGCATAAAAATAAATACCACTCATTAAGTCATGTTGTTTTTATCTATTCACCGTTTGATACTGCGTGCTGTCGACAGCGACTGCGACAGCGACAGCCACAGCGACTGTGACGGCGACGTCGACAGTAAGAGACAGAGACAAAGGCAGATCACGTAAGGGAAGAGAGCAGAGGTAAAGGGCTTGGGGCTTGGAGCTTGGGCCAGCAGCGTGTGTATTTCTGCGTGCAACTATTTAAGCTGTAGCAAATTCCTTAAACTGAGTTTATTTACTTACGGAAACTTAAAATGGGAACTAGCACGTTCGAGGGCGTTGAGGCACCACCAAGTAAACCGGAACTAGTTCAAGATGCGCATATTCGTTTTCGGTAAATAACTTAGTCAATTCAATGACATTGAACTTGTTGAAATATTATGTACACTAAATATCCCACCTTTTATACTAGGTGCACAAAGTGTTACAGATGAATATTTATTTTGCTTTCATATGAGCAGCCGGATAGATGGACATCAAGACAAATAATGAGGCCAAATACCTGAATCTTGAAAAATATATATTCGTTCTTATCCGAGTTATGTTTCAGATATATGTTACAGTCTAAGATCTCGAGTCATCTACATTTGCGTCTTGCTCTCTCTTGTCAGATGTACTGATCATTAATCTATCGTATTAACATACTTATGAACACGCTAATCTCATCGACTATAAAAGCTGGAGACTTGCAATTCTGATCATGGGTCTTCCTTTTTTCAAATCACCTATTTTTTTTTTTAGTATATCTCAGAGCTAGTAGACTTTCAAAGAGTATACACAGGTTCAGAATATTTTAATTTTTATATATCTTCCTCGTACCCCCAAAAATAATGTGGTCTTGGGCTTTGGTATGTATGGAAAGTGGCGTATGAGTTTGAAATCGATTGAATTGAACAATTCAGTCCGTGACTTTATTTCAATGTGCACTTACATAATACAAAGAAAGTGTTGTGCAAAATGCAGGTACCTCAGTCTTCCGACTTGCATTAATCAGAAGATCAGTAAGTCGGTCATTTCTTTAGTCAATTACTCAATCTATAATTCAAACATCACGTCAGTAATCAAAAAGACCAGCCCTTTGCGCTCTTGCATGAACCAGTTCACCGTGCGGAATCAGAACGCGCAGCATTAGAAGTGAATTGCATTAAGTTAATTCCTTCAGCACCCTTGAGCTGCCGACCTATGTATAAGTAAACCGTAACTTGAACTGTATCTGCAGCTGAAAATGTAGCTGTAGTCGTAGCTGCGGGCCAATGTTTGAATGCCGCAGTAAGCAACAGCTTTTGGCGGCTTAAAGCTAAATTTAAGTTTAAGTTTTGGCTGCTGATTAAAGCAGCGGGAGCATATTTCAATTGTAATTTTAATTAGACGGCCCAAAACGAAAGTCGCATAACTTTTTGCCAATGCCAAGCCAACAGATACTGTAACCCAGGCATAGATACGCGCGTGCACACACACACACACACACACACACACACCACACACCACACACACACACGCACATTCAGTGTTTGCGGGTGTGGGTGTATGTGTGTAGTGGTAGTTGTAGACAAAGCGCGCAGTAGTAAGAGAATTCAATTAAATGTTCATCAAAAACTACAACAAAAATGGCGCACACAGATACACACATACAAAGTCAAAGATATCTACAGAGGCGAACAAAGAATGGTAACGATGATGACAACGACAAGTAGATGATGATGATCCTGATGATACTGATGATGATGATGATGATGGTGGGAATGATAAAGGCACACTGTAGCTGCGGCTGGCGGTGGCCGTGGCTGTAGCTATGACTGCGATTGCGACTGTGACTGTGACTCTGACTCTGACTTTGGCGTTGTAATCAGCAAGAGGTGCGCAGCAAGCGGAAAGCCAACGACGACGCGCACAAAAGTTATAAAATACCAGATAGATAGTAATTGCAGCAACTTCCTCTCCCCCTCACCATCGTCTATCTCGCCCTTGGTTTGCTATTATGTGTGTGTGTGTGTGTGTGTGTGTGTGTGTGTGTGTGTGTGTGTGTGTGTGTGTGTGTGTGTGTGTGTGTGTGTGTGTGTGTGTGTGTGTGTGTGTGTGTGTGTGTGTGTGTGTGTGTGTGTGTGTGTGTGTGTGTGTGTGTGTGTGTGTGTGTGTGTGTGTGTGTGTGTGTGTGTGTGTGTGTGTGTGTGTGTGTGTGTGTGTGTGTGTGTGTGTGTGTGTGTGTGTGTGTGTGTGTGTGTGTGTGTGTGTGTGTGTGTGTGTGTGTGTGTGTGTGTGTGTGTGTGTGTGTGTGTGTGTGTGTGTGTGTGTGTGTGTGTGTGTGTGTGTGTGTGTGTGTGTGTGTGTGTGTGTGTGTGTGTGTGTGTGTGTGTGTGTGTGTGTGTGTGTGTGTGTGTGTGTGTGTGTGTGTGTGTGTGTGTGTGTGTGTGTGTGTGTGTGTGTGTGTGTGTGTGTGTGTGTGTGTGTGTGTGTGTGTGTGTGTGTGTGTGTGTGTGTGTGTGTGTGTGTGTGTGTGTGTGTGTGTGTGTGTGTGTGTGTGTGTGTGTGTGTGTGTGTGTGTGTGGTGTGTGTGTGTGTGTGTGTGTGTGTGTGTGTGTGTGTGTGTGTGTGTGTGGTGTGTGTGTGTGTGTGTGTGTGTGTGTGTGTGTGTGTGTGTGTGTGTGTGTGTGTGTGTGTGTGTGTGTGTGTGTGTGTGTGTGTGTGTGTGTGTGTGTGTGTGTTGTGTGTGTGTGTGTGTGTGTGTGTGTGTGTGTGTGTGTGTGTGTGTGTGTGTGTGTGTGTGTGTGTGTGGCTGGTGAAAATAAGCAGGAAACTGGAAATTACAAATGATACGGAAATAATGCGATATCATGAATCATTTTTATGAGAATCGAGACTTTGATTCTCATGGGCAAATGATGCTCTGTCGTTTAATACGCCTCTCT